TTCCAATTAATTCTTATTTCGGAAAAAAAATCTCACGTGTCTTAATTACAAAACTTTGGACTTTATACACTTTAGGAGACAATAGAAAAATATAGTACATGCCTTTAAAGGTCAGCCAGTTACAAACATTCATTTGCATGAGTTTTTAATTATTTATTAGTTAATGGAAGTAAAAACATTACCCAATTAAAAAAAATCTGGTAGTATTTACTATTATTTTGGAAACAAAACATAATGAAATTTAGCATATGAAACAATTAAAATGACATTTAAACAAAAAATAAAACCAGGCCACAACATACGTTTTAACTTTATGGTATTTTAATTTTTTAGACTTACAAAGAAATGTGCAATGAGCTAAGCATAGTTTCACCTGCACTCCAAAACCATTTTTTTGGGGTGTTTTCTGCCATTTCTAAAAATACACACTCAGTGCCAAATTCTCAATTGAGCAGCACAAGCAGAGAATTCTAGCCCTTAGTCTTTTGCTGTTTGATCCTACCAATCCACAAACCAAATCTGTATTGAAACCAAGGAAAACCCTTAAAGACTGTACAAACTGGTTATTTATATTTTATTTATGTACACAGCTTCTTTTTTATGAGATGGGCCAGATGGGAAGTACTGTCAACATAGTATTTATTAGCCAGAAAAAAAATCAGCTGCGTACTATGGCATCTGGTCAAGATTTTGTGACCACATATTTCAACATATATTTCAATTATATATGGCAGGATACCATTTTCTCTAAAATCTCAGCTCAGTGATTATTCAGTCAGAATAGCCTTATATGGCAAGAATATAAGGCCAGGAGATCAGATGGTTTAACGATTAGAACAAAACAACTGGGGAGTTTAGATCAGTGTATCTAAACTTGGCTGAGCCACTGTCTTATCATGGGTGAAATTTGCTCCTGTTCAGACGGCCAGCATAAGGCCCATGCACCGTTTAAGTCCCACGTAAGTCTTCAGAATAGGTCCCACGTGGGATTTAAGTGGTGCCTTAGCTTTTCGTTGGCCCACTTCACAGAAGTGAATTTCTCCCTGGATGAACTCAAATATTTTACTCTGGAATGAATCTTTCTCTGTCTCCTCTTTATGATTTCTGTCCCTCATTCTGAGCGAGCACTCTCATAATTCCTCTTTGGGTAGTTGCATCCAGACTTGGGACTGACAGAGCAGCTCCTATTTCATACATTTTTTTCTGGGTTATTTGTTGATATCTGTTTATTTTAAGCCAAAATCACTGACTGTGTCTATCAAACTGTCTTTTCTACACCTTCTTCTTTCAGTCTCTTCCCCCTTTAAGCTGGTACTCATGGATAGACGACTGTCACCATGTGACCCCTGCCTCCCTCCATGCCCCTGGAAAAACTTTACAGTTTAGGCAGTTCATTAATTACTATAAAGAGCCTCTGTCGCAGGGCAGTACATTTATTTTTTGTACATGCTGCTGCTTCAGTTACTTTCGTACAGTTCGTACTCTATAAATTTGCTCCCTCCATATCCTCTTCCATACGTCAGTTCCATAGAACAACTCATAGTATTCATTGTCATCCCTCAGAAATAGCTTCTTCTTTGAGGCACTTAAACTGTTACTTCTTATGATCTGTCTACATTAGGGTTTTTTTGCACTAGTATATGTCCAGTGCAAAAATCCCTAATGGAGACAGGCTAGTAGACTAATAGTTGAACAGAGCTGTGTGAATAAATTATTTTTTTGGTTTGTTGGGAACCCTCCCATTCCCCTCTCCCCCAAATCATTTTAGGTTGGCTCAACAGGAAAACATTTCAAAATTTCCAACAAACTGAAAAGTCAAGAACATTTTTGTTTGAGATCAAATTAAATGTTTTGTTTGACCCTGAGCTTTAACTTAAAAAAAAAACCCTGAAAGAAATTAAGAAACACAAAAATCATTGTTTTGATTTTTCTCGTAATCTTATTTTATCATTTTTAGATTTTTTTTAATGAAACAATTCAGTGAAATCGACATGAATTCATGAAATGTTTCAGGCAACCTGAGTCTGAATTTTTCACAAAAAAAAAGTGTCAGCTGAAAAAATTCACCCAGTTCTACTGTTGAAGATTCAGGATGAAATCTTAATTCAACTGAAGTTAATGGTAAACCCCCTTGTTTGTCTAATCATGTAAGATGGGACAAAGGCACCGAGGGGCAGACTTTATGTCTTTGAGTCTTCAATGCCATTTTAAGGCCTGTCTACATTAGAGATATTTGTACTTCAGCTACAACACGACCATAAGTCGAAACAGTTTAAGTTTTCCAAGGTAGCAACTCTTTGTGAGGAACAGCGCCGAACAATACCAGTTGTTCTATGACACAGCAGAGGAATTACAAAACAACATCTCCAACCTTACCGGGGAATACTAGAAGGGAAACACAAAATGTCCTTTTTCAAGCAAACAATAGGTTGACAAGAACACATGCATGCTTGATGTTGGATGAAAGAAGCCCACACTATAGAAAGTGTTCCATCCCTGTAAAACAATAAATCCCACAATCTTGCCTGGGTCATTTTCAGCTTTTATTAGCTTCTTTAAGGTCAAAAGAAGAATCAGGTGAAATTCATAAAGAAATTTCACTTTTCTGCCTCTGAAAATCACCTTTTGTTTCTGCCAAAATATTAGAGATGAATGTAATCAGTGTTTCACTGATGGCAAGAATTTCTCTCATAGTTTTAGCTGGAACCCACTAGAAACTCCGTGCAATGCACTGGTAGATTATAATCTTAATTTAGAACCTTTCCCTGTACAGTACTCATCCTCTACTTCTGCCGACAGGTTTGAACATTAACACTTGAAAACATCAGAAATATTCTGCTCTGACTCCAGATTGAGGTCAACACACTTTCAAAATTAGAAAAATTCTCCACATTTCCTTCCTGTTAACACCACAGAACTCAGATCCCTAATCAGTTCTCTTGAGATAATACCACTATCAAGGTTTTCCCTTATTGTTTGTTATCAGTTAAGCCCATCAAAGGACATGCAACAAAGAAGAAAACGCTTGGTAGCAAAAGGCTATGGCAGCCGTATTAGGGATGTAAGTGTTACGGTCAGTTATCTGTGATATTGCTGATGGGAGAAAGACTAGGAGCAGATCCATTTTGCAGGTTATTGTCCTTCTATTTCATATCAAGACCTAGAGATTTTGTGAATTTGTTTTTGAAGAGAAGCTGCATCACAGGTATGGTATATAATCTGACTGAGGTAATTTACCACACATTTCCTTGCAAATGGCAATAATATCAGCATTAACTGAGTTGTGTTAATGGGATAAGTAGTCTTTGTGTCTTTGAGAAATGATTGAAAAGTACAATATTTATGTGACGAAAACTCTTCAACAACAAACATGTCTGAGTCTTACTGCTGAAGAGAAACTCCACAAAGATATACATAAAAAACCTCATTCTAAAGAATATTAAAAAGGGTTGTTTACTTGAAATTTATGGTAGGTTATAATCTGAGGGGAAAAGTCTACCTTTTTAATGTATCTTAATTGAAATGAAAATTATTTGTTCCTTTTCCTAATAAAAATAGAACAGGGTGAAGGATTTGTACCTCCAATAGTATATTCAAGTTCATGTTGTCTCTATTACTTTACACCCCTGGACTGGACAAAACTACCCGATGATAGAAGAGTTAAAATAAAGGCTCAAAAATTGGCTAAATAGGAAATATTCTATTCACTTAATCCCTGAACCTTCAGAGACTCACACACATGCTTAACTGTGTTTTGCCCCACACAACTGTGAGTTACCCCACTAAAATCAAGAAAGACCTCCATTGACTTCTGTAGGCTTTGGATCAGACCCAAAAGACATCAAGCCTCCAGTCCTGCATTCATATCACACCCAAATGCCCATTGAATTCAAAATACTGAATTACTGGTGATTTATACCGGATTTATACTTTTTTAAAACAACTAGATGAAGGAATTATACATTATTCATTTTCCTTTCAGAAGGGATAAAGAATAACACCCACACAAATCAGAAAAAACAGAAATCCTGTTATTTTTTGCAAACTCTTGTATGTTTTTTAAAATGTCATATGCCTTATAGGTGTGATGCACAGTAGTTCTTCAACAGGAATCAAAAAGTAACTTAAAACAACATAATCACTGCAGAGGGATTTGCAGTCTTCTATCTCACAAACTTAATGGAAACATTTGTAAAGATTTCTTTACTTAGTAATTGAAAACAACTAGTTCTGCTACTCTGTACTTACGTAAAAGCACAATTCTGTTTCATCCATAGTAAAGTCAAGTATTGAAAATCCATACATTGTAAATTCAGATTTCTACTGTATTTTCAAAGTTCTTGGGGGTAAGCCGGCAAGCTGTATAAAACTGGGATTTGGCTAATTTGAGTCCCCTCTATTATAGGCGAGCATCAATCATGCAGGGGTCCTGTGGCTAATGTATTTAACTTTAAATTTGTGAGTAATCCCACTGAACTCACTGGCATCAGTGAGACTGCTCATGTATTTAAAGTTAAGTACATGCTTAAGTGATCTGTTGGATCAGGGGGGAGGAGCCCTAGAGAAGATCTTAGATGCTCCACAGAATCGAGAAGCTGCTCCTGTGGAGCATTAGTTAGGGCAACTGCTGGCTATCCACCTTGGCTAACTTGAAATGCCAGTTAATCAGAGTTCAGAAATTGGTGCTGCACTGGATTTGTGTTATTATATATTAAATAGAGAGGATTTTAATGGCATAGATTCTAGGCCAAATCAATCACACCTGTATTACACTATTGAATTCAATGAGTCCATACTGGTGTAACAAAGAGCATTAAGAATCCTGCATCTAAATGATGTGTAAAACATTTCAGATTGTGTTTATGATGTCAAATAAAATGTTTGCCAAATTCTGAACACAGGAAAAAGGGTTAATTTGAAAGCAGTGTTCTAATGTCTGGAAAGCTGGGTGATTAGAAACAGTCACATAAAATTGACAAATATAACATATGTATTCTTACCCTTCAGTCCGGAAAATAGTCCTAAAACTGTCCCCCAAGCTCTTGTAACTGGTTGGATCAGTTTTCCCTCTTTGAATCTGGAACCTAAAAAATACAATTTATAACAGCATGTGAAGTTAAGGATTTTAAAAGCCACTTTCGGCTTTCCAATTTCTATATAAAAGGGATCTTAAGGTTTATTGATATATCTTATTCATTATTATAGACTGTTCCTGATATTTATTCTTATTAACACTACTTTCATAGGAGTTATTAAACAAAGGAGAAATACAGCTTTAAAAGTAACTTTTTCATAGTTCATAGTACTCAGATAGCCAGCACTTTTACAATTTACTCCTCTTTCTTGTTGTGTAAAAAATAAACTGCTAATCATGGGCTTGATCCAAAGTCCATGGAAGTTCATAGGAGTCTTTCAATGGTCTTTGAATCAGACCCTGTTTTCAGAAATCTGAAGTAGCATATTGTAATGCGTTTTACCACTGTGAAATGAACCTACCATACAATTTCTTATTTTTAGTGTCTGATCTAACTCCAATTAAAATCATCAGGAGATTCTATTGGAAGTTAGATCAGGCTCCTAATAGTCACTTTTGGACATTTATCACAGAGGTGAACAATATAAAATGCAGCTATCAATATTTTAATGAAGTCACCTTTCTTCTGCTCATATTTTGATACATAATGCAGAGGTTTTCAGCAGCGGGCTGACAATACTTGCAGCACATCAGCCTTAAGAATAACAACAAGATTAGGATTTAAGACTGCAAATATATATGCCAGTATTTACAAGTTCTCGATAAAGGTGGTCAGCATAACTCACTGTGTTAATCTACTGAGTGCTCCAAATGGGGTTACACCCACTTCTCAAAGCTGCCAATAGAGAAAAGGAAAAAGACGCTAGACTATATATTTCCCATCCCGCCCACCCTTTGTTTTAAAAGTGTGTATGCGGGATGGGGGTGGGGGCTCATAATGACATCTTTTTCCAGTTTGAGCCTTGGATATAATGTGCTTTTGTTCACAGTTTGATTACACTTAGAAGTCTTTGGCTACATTCTACACAATAAGGGGACTTTGTAGAGAAAGTTATCATCTAAAACCAAAATGTGCACTCTTTCATAATATCTCATTTTTAAAACTATAGAGCTGCAAAGATGCTCACTTGAGTAGCCTAGCCCAGTTCCACATCAAGGAAACTTCGACCAGAGTTGGAAGAACATAATTTCATGTTAGATTTTTTCAATTACTATCCAGTATAAAACAACACAGACACAAATGTTAGTAATCTCAGTTCAGAATAGCATTGTTTGTGGCAATCTACAGACTGCCATTATAACTCATGTAACATCAACCCTGTGCATTAAATAACGCCTGCTTCAAAGAATCATCCAGACATTAATTATTAGAATCAAATACTGCTGCAAGTCCTAAGCAAAAGACAAAACAAGCACGTTTACCTTTTTACTTATGTTCTTCACACATAGTATACATTAGTGTTTTAGATAGGTACCGGACCTTCAGTGCTCCAACATACAAATATGGCTTCTTATTCTGATTAGACACCATCAGATTCAAATAATAGTACAATTTTAGTTAAATGATATTAAATAGCAATTTTCTCTTCCATCTTAACTGGATTCAGCAGGATCAAAAACGGTTTTTACATTTCAGCAAAAGGCATTCTTAGTTTTGCCTATCAGTGTTTCCTAAGCTGTTTGCAGTAACAAATCTAAGCATTTTCTTCACTCTGGGAGACAAATTTCCAGTGATGTAATATAATTCTTTGGGCAATTATGAAGGCAAACCCACACCTCTTTTGAATGCATTTAGAAGGAAACGTTGGATCGCTCCATAGTCCTAAGAAAAGCAGTTCAGGCACATGTGGGATCTCCATCTGAGGTAACCTCTTTTATTAGTGAGAGAACTTGCTGCCAAGTTGGCAAAGTAGAGACTGCTGTTCTAGAGGTTTACACTCATATGAGAGTTGATGCATAACATTTTGTCTGAAAAGAACCCTTGGGAAGGTTAATAGCTGAAAATGCCTCAGTGGCATCGCACAAAGTCCAACAGTAATAACAGCAACGGAATGTTGTAAGTTGTTACATTATACTAGCCAAGAAATCAAGACTGAAAAAAAAAATCTTAGCACACACAGACATGTAGGATTTATACTAATATTAGTATTTTTAAGCCTTGATCATTTATACCTCAAAGTTTAAATTCAAAAGTGATGGGCTCCATTTGTTGTAAAAAGAAACCTTTTAAAAATCACTAATAATTGAAAGAAATTGTAGACTAGTATTTACATAGAAAGACAGTCCTATACCATAAAACTTTTTTCAAAAGTTTTAAGACTTTTGTCCTAAGCAGAAATTTAGAATAAAGGTGATTGTTTCTAAAATACTCCGGGAAAAACTTAGGCCCCTATCCTGTAAATACTTATGCATGTGCTACCTGTACACATACAAATTATTCAACAAGACTACTCATGTGCATAAATTTAAGCACATGCATATGTATTTGCTGGATTGGGGCCTTAATCCTGGGCTACCCCAATAGAGATAATATATAGTAAAATTATTTTACTTTAGCTTTATCCTAAGCCTGCTGTACTGTATATTTCTTAATACTTAATATTTCTGCTCGTAAAATGCAGAGACAGAATGAGCACTTTAATAAAATAATAGTTAATTTATTTGTATCAGTTTATGGGGTAAAAGGATAACTTCTTACTAAAAATGTTAAATACTATTTTTTACATTTATTTCAATTTCTTTTTTAACGGGAGAGAAGATCTTAGTATTAAGCAAGTCCATTTGTAACACTGACACAAACAACATATTCCTTCCTTTAGGGTTTTTGGATCCATTCCTTCCCTAGTAAATCTTTTTAATAGCTTTAACAGCAATCCTAAAATACATGCCAATTATGTGCTCTAATCTAGATCTGTGAACTGGGTTATTTGATTTGGAATCGCTTGCCTCAATAAAAGAAGGTTTAACTTTTTAATGGACTAGCTAACTGATCACCCATACTTGTTATAAGGAGCTAGAGGAAGAACTGACAAGATGTTTATTTGTTTTGCTGGGGGGAGGAGCAGCAGTCACAGCAGCACCCTGTAGCAGTACTAGTAATAATAAAGAAGGGTGAAAGCATTCACTTCAAAAACAACCTGGTCTGTTTTAAATTATTGACTAGGGGATTAAGTACAACCTGGAGATACACAATGGTTTTTTTTCTGCTTCAGATCTATTTCTCTCTGAAAACGGTATTAACCAAATGCTCATATTCAAGTGAATTTCTTGCATTTTTGAAAGCAGGAGGACTGTATCTTATACATTAGTGGCCTTGTGAGAATTACAGAAGCTAACCCGCCTGACTAAATAGAAAGTATCACGCATTTCTGGTCTGGTTAAGATTCTGAAGTCTAAGAAGCAAAACCTGCAACTAAACATTTTTCAGAGACAGAGTGAAAGGACACTAACAAGATAAGGCCACAGTCCTGTTCTAGGGCTCCACATGGGCACCTGGATCTGCCCATGCAGAGCCCTTCGAAGCACCGGGGCTTAAGAGTGCATTAACAATGTTGCCACACAACAAGAAGCAATAGACAGTGGATACTGCAACAAGGTGCAAGTTTATTGAACGTATCACTAGAAAAAGGTTCAAACAATTGACATTTTCCTCAACTGTAACCTCTTCTCCACCAGCTTTGCTGATTCTCCAGTCTGTTCAAAATGCTGCAGCAATAATCACCTCCCTTTCCCTCCCAAGTTTACCACAAGACTCCCTGATGTTTGTAAGAGGAGGCAGTAGCCACTGTCCTCAATCCACCCCAGAAGATTACAAAAACGGAGAGATTCCCAAGCTAGCGGAGGACAAGAGCCTGAAAACGGAGAGGAAAGGATGGGTCCAAGAAGGGTTATGGTTTCAGGTGGAAGCCATGTAAAAATGGCCATTTTAAATGCTTTTCTTTTTGAGATTTTTGGTGTTTATTCAAAACCTAAACTCCAAGCTGTAAACTTCTGTGATCCAAAATCAAAGAAGCTACAATTAAATGACTCCCCTTTGTGCAGCTGTACAACTGCCATTTGTAGGACAAATAATCCCAGGTCCTTCTCACCTTGACATCATGAAAGGGATAATCTATATGGACAGAAACTGCCCTGGCATGACTCCTCTAATGTGTAAGGCACAAATAAACTCCTCTTCAACATGAAGGATGCTCATTTTCTTTTGCCATCTCTGTCAGCCATTTCCCATTAATAATCATTATATAATTCAATGAAGCAGTTTCTGTGCAATACCCGCTTACATAGGGTGATCATATGTCCCTAAAAATCACACATTTGTTTCCACGGTCTGTCCCACTGTCCTTGCTGGTTTTACAAAATCCAGTGTTTTCTCCCAGTTTTTGTTCCCATGATGCTTCCCAGTGACTCCTCCCTCTGCAAAAGACCGCAAGCCAGTCTTATCCTGCATGCAGTGAAATCCACAGGATGGTGGGGAATAGGGTGACCAGATTACATGAACAAAATATCGGGACACATGGGGGGGCAGGTCCGGAGCGCCGCCGAAGAACAAAAAAAAAAGAAAAAGACCCAGAGCCAGAATATCGGGACAAATGGCGTCCTGACCATACACCCATAGGGACGCAGGACAAACGACTGAATATCGGGATAGTCCGTCTGGTCACCCTAGTGGGGAAAGAGAGGCTGAGGTGTTACTTGGCTGAGGAGAAGAGATAGCTTGTATTCTCTCCCTCCTACAAGTTGTCAATTCTACTATCTCTCACCAAGATAGTCTTCTGGGTGCCTGAAAGCATAGGTACCTTTAGGTTTTTTTTTTTTTTTTTTTTTGCTTTCAAAGTCTGTTCACCCAGCTCTTACTAACCCTCCCCCATTTGATGCCAAGTGCTATGTAAGGCTTTCTGTAGCGGGGTGGTCACCCACTCCGGCCCTGAAAGGGTTACAGCCAGCCCTGGGAGAGGACTGGGGCTGCTAGGCTGATGGGGAAGGCAGCCACAGCTGGGGCCATGCCCCAATCAGGCCACAGCTGGCCCTATAAAAGGCTGTGGGCCAGGA